CGAGACCACAGAGAGCACGGACGTCAAGGACAGCTCAGAGGCCTCTGACTCGGCCTCCTAGAGCCTGTCCCATCCCAGCCTTACCCCATGAGCTTTCACAATAAACCTTATCCCGTGGCCGTGGGGAATTTGTGTGTGTACGTGTGCATATTTGAAGGGGTGTGCCTCTCACTTGCTGGGCCTCTGCATCCTCGTTAACCTTCCAAGGCTGAACTAGATGATTTGTTGGGGGCTTCTAGCTGTCATTGGTTTCCTTCGTTGCCTCTGCTTTACCCTTATCTGCTGTGTCCCACCTTCAGGCCTTTCCATAATCATACTTGTTTTCAGCTACCGAAGCTCCAGCTTGTACCTCCTGGACTCCAAATGCCTTTGTCCAACTGCTCGTTGGGCCTTTCTGCAGACATCCTGTCTGGATAATGGTCTGACAGCCACTCAGTTGCTCAAGCCCTGTCAATTTTCCCTCTCCTCCCTCCCCTACTATCCAATGGTCAGCAAGTCTTGTGTGTTCAACCACCATAATGCTGTTGAATCTGCTCCCTAACCTGAGCCTTCATTTGAAAATACTAGTTTATTTTTAGTTCAGCTTTAGAGTTACAGATAGCTTGATCAGATGGTACCTCTCCCTCCTTTCCCCGTTCCCCCCTTCCTTTTCTTTTTGTTTCTTTCAGACAGTGTCTCACTGTGTCACCCACGCTGGCCTACAACTTGAGATCCTCTAGCCTCAGCTTCCCCAAGTGCTGGGATTACAGGGATTCACCATCATGCCCAGCTTCCCCATTATTAACATTTTATATTAGGTGTATTTGTTACTGCTTTTTTTTTTTTTTTCCGGGCAACACTGGTGTTTGAACTCAGGGCCTCACACTTGCTAAGGCAGGCGCTCTACCACTTGAACCACCCCACCAGCTATTTCAGCTATTTGTTACTGTTGATGAGCCAGTTCTGCACATTATTATCAGCCATAGTCCATGGCTTGCATTAGGGTTCCCCCTTTGCATTATTTAGTTTTGGTAAGGTTTTTTTTTTTGTGGCACTGGGATTTGAACTCAGGGCCTCATGCTTGCTAGGCAGGCACTCTTACCGCTTGAACCATTCCACCAGCCCATAAGTTTCTATAAGTTTTGACAAATACATAGTCATATCTATTATGGTGCATGGGAGTGTGTGTGTGACTGGGGTTTGAACTCAGGCTTCGAGCTTGCAGAGCAGGTGCTTTACCACTTGAATCACCTCCAGCCCCCCTCCCCTCTTTTTTTTGAGCTTTTGGCCATTTGTCTAATAATACAGTGTACAGAATACAGAATGTACGGAATAATAGTGTGTGTGGGGGGGTACTAGTGGGAGGGAGAGTGAATAAAGATTAAGATGAGGGTGTATGGTTGGTGGACCTCATATACTTACATGAAATGGAACAAAGAAATCTCTTGCAATTGCTTTTTTTTTTTTTTTTTTTTTTGCGCCACTGGGGCTTGAACTCAGGGCCTTCTCCTTGAGCCACTCCACCAGCCCTATTTTTGTGAAGGGTTTTTCGAGATAGGGTCTCATGAACCATTTGCCTGGGCTGGCTTTGAACCTCGATCCTCCTGATCTCTGCCTCCTGAGTAGCTAGGATTACAGGCGTGCCCTGGAATTGCTTTAAGTGGGGGGGGGGTGAGGAGGAGTGGAGATTGAGGTGATCTAACCAATGTACAGTATAAGCCTAATCGGAATTGTCATTATGAATCTTCCCTTCCCCATAATGAGTATGTCCTAATAAAAAAATTTTATAAAAAACAAATACTAAAATAAAAAGAATAAGTCCTCCCCCATCTCTGAATCCTCAAGGTTTTCATGGCCTCGCTTTTGCCCCCTTTTTTTTTTTTTTTTTTGCGTTACTGGTGTTTGAACTCAGGGCCTACAACTTGAGCTACTCCACCAGCCCTTTTTTATATTTTCAAGATAGGGTCTCGCAAACTATTTGCCTGTGCTGGCTTCGAACCGAGATCCTCCTGATTTCTGCTTCCTGAGTAGCTAGGACTACAAGCGTGAGCCACCGGCGCCGGCTTTATCCTAACTTCTGCTCCTGTGCCTTTCCTTCCTGCCCTTAGCTCTAGCAGCAACGCCATCACTCGGTTGCTCCTAGTCCCGGGGCGGGCTCTTTCTGGGCTGCTCGCCTCCTAGAGGAGCTCAGCGTCCCTGAGCTGTCACTATACTAATGCCCCTGCTGCTGCACTTGAGACACTGCTCCTTCACTAGGTTGAATAAATCGCCACTGGGGCCCGCAGCTGTTTTCTAGCTGGCGCCAGGCGCGAACAGAAAAGCAGGGACTAGAGAGTCAGAAACGGTGCGCCTGCGCATCGCTGCTCCGCTTGCCCGCCAGCGAGACTGCGTTCTGATTGGCTAAAGTCGCGGGCTTTCCTTCTTATCGGTCGCGGATGAGCTTCGTCCCGCCCACCGCGCCTGGCGTCAGCCTCTTCCGGTTCGCAAGCTTAGTTCCCAGGCTCTGATTGGTCCGACGGCTCCGGGACGGACTCTGCGCGACTGGGCGGGCAGTCATGCGCGTTTTCCTCGGCCGCGCCCCGGCTCTAGTGGGAGGGAGCTTGGGGAGGCTCTTAAGGCTCCGTACAGAGCGTTTTCCTCCCCCGCCGGCCCGTCCCAAGCCCTCGGTGCTCCGCGACCCTGGCAGCCTGTTGACGCTCGGCCACCCTCTCCGCCCCCAGGCGGTTAAGTTTCCTGGGCGGAGGTGGGAGCTGGGGAGGAGGGGAAACCGCAGGCTCTCCTGGCCTCTAGGGGCCCAGCACTTCCCCTGCCTCTGCAGCATCCGCCTGCTAGGAGCGGCTGCTTCTATGCCAGTGTGCTGAGGCTGGAAGGCAGAGGGGAGAGAAGCAGGCTCCTCTGCCTCCTCCCTATGTGCTGGGGGTGGGCTCCAGAACGTTCCCCAGGAGATAAACGCCCACCGCCTGATTCATTAATTTATTTTCTCTTTTTCTCCCACATGGACGGTGGCAACATGTCTGACAGTTGATCTCATCTCCCTCTGGTCCACCTTCCACGTGGCGGACCAGACCACATCAACCCGACAATCATCTCTCAGGACCAAGTGTACACTCCTCAACAGGTTTAGAAAGGTCCTGCAGATCTGGTCCTTGCCTTAATGCTTTTAGAGTCTTTAAAGGCGAACAGTGGAACTCAGGACAGAGCAGGCAATAGGGCACAATTTCATTTAGCACCTTAAATGCCAAACAAGAGTCCTAAGAGCCAAGTTTAATCACTCAAGGTTTTTGTTTGTTTTGTGTTTTTGCCTTTCAGTTAGTTCAAAGCAGGGGCTGAAGTGGGGCACCAGGTGAATATTTCTGGAGTCAGAAAAGGACTGAACTGAGCATTTGAAAGCCAGATAGTTCAGCAGCCATTTCCTGCATGCTGGAATCCTGTGCCTAGCTCTGCTAGGTGGATGAGGGACTTCTGGGGACCGTGCTCAGATAAGGGTAGGAGGCAGGTAGGACACACGGGCTTAGCTAACAAGGGGGACCATGGATGTCTGGTTCCCCTTAGCATGAGCCAGAGGTGGGATATGTGAGTCTCTCCTGACACAAGGAGCAGGTTCACCTGTGACTGAGCATGCACGCACTGTGGGAACGGGTACAGGCTCAAGTGCCTTGTTAGAGGACTCCAGTATTGGTATTTCTCAGACCAGCTGCTGGAAGTCCAGGTCCTGGGCCTGAAAGGGTCTGGCTAAGTCCCAGATCTCTTCTTCAAGGCCTGGTGGGCACATGGGAGCATCTTAGAGGAAGGCTTTTGTACTGGGTGTAAAAGGTGGTGGTGGTGGGGGGAGTGTTTTATCCATATGGTCAACAGAAATAATTATAGTTGAGAGACCAGAAGTACCTACACAGCCTCCACTCCACTGACCTCCTGATCTGCAGGCCAAGGTTGTATGTGTTCACGTGTGCACGTTGACACCCATGTGTGTACATGATTGGACTCCTTGTACTAGTGCCTGCAAGCCCATCTCCCTGGGCACACAGTGCTTAACTGCTTTGCCTGTTTTCCACCATCTATTATACCCCAGGGATTTCTCTCCTACCAAAAAAACCAAAACCAAAACAACAGTTATCTAGTCTGGCTTGTCACCTGTCACCTGTCTCTTGCTTTCCCAATTTACAAGAGAAAAAAAAAAAACTTGCTCTGTGGCTTAGAGTTAGCAGGGGTAGGGGGAAACTCTGCCATCAATGCATGAGGGAGGCTCCAAGACTTGCCGCCAGACTGGCTAAGATCTTGCTCTGAAGGGGCTGTCCCCCTCCCCCAGGCCTAGAACAGGGCAGGTGCAAGCTGCAGGGGAAAGGAGGCAGAAGAGTGTCTTCCGGCAGCAGGAAGTGGTAACCACCTATGGGGAAATGAGGCTTGTTCTTCCCTTTGGGGTTGAGCAGAAGGGGAACCATAGCTGAACCCTGCTCCCTACCCTCCAAGGGGGCCTGGAGGGGACATAGGCCAGCTGCAGAACATTCTACTCCAGCTCTTAGGCCTCTCTCGGGGCTTTGACTCAGGAATCGAGGGCTCCATCTGTTGTCCTGGGAGGCTGGGGATAAGCAGGCACCCCAGGGGGAGTCCTAGGCCTAGAGCAGTTATGGTGCCACTGTTCACTGATATTAAGAGCCAGTGGCTATGGGAGGTGCCATCCGGTAGTGGTGACCAAAGATAGAGGTGGTGGAGGACGGCAGCAGGTGGTGCCAGCTTGCCAGGCACCTTGGGGCTCTCACTCTTGAACTGGCTGCTTGGCAGCCAGGCTTTGGGCACAGGGTGGTCGAGGTGTGCGCCCAGTGGGAGGAGGCAGCCATCCCGGAGTGTAGTGAGGCTGGGAGGGGGCGCCCTTCCCCTGGGAGCCCCTACGGGGCCTTGCCAGGCCTGGGCTGCCCCGCCCCACCGGGGACCGCGCTGGGGGTGGGGCGGAGCGGGGCGGAGCCGGTGCAGGGTACTGGCCGTGGCGCCCCCGGTCCCAGCGCCTGGCCACTCGGTGCCGCGTGGGAGCATCGGGGCTCGACGGCGCGGCCACCCGGCCGCCATGGCGGCGCACGGGAAGCTGCGGCGGGAGCGGGGGCTGCAGGCCGAGTATGAGGCGCAAGTCAAAGGTGAGAGGGTACCGGGCGCTCCTGGCCCAATTCCCTGCGGAGACCCGGAAGGTCGTGGCGGGGAGCCCGAAGCATCCGCTGCTGGTCCCCAGCGACCTCCGGGGAGAGGGGTGGAGGAGGAAGCCGGAGCCCCATGCTTCTTGGTTCCTCTTAGGGCTCAGCCGCCAGCTAGCCCCCCTTCTTTCCTCCGTCCTTTGGCTTCTCTGCCCATCTTGGGTCTGCTGCTCCTCACCCAGGGAGCAGAGAAGACCCTGGTGGCCAGAGGGAAGGGTGGACTGGAAAGGTTCGTTCTAGCTGGAGTACCATGGGTTGGAGGGTGGGCTCAGGTAAGGGAGTGGGGGTGAGTAGCTTGGTTGGATTGGTGGCCACCTCACCCTAACAGCACTGGAGTGAGTCCCTGGAGCCCTGGCACCTTCACCTGCCTTTGTCACTGAGGGGGCTTACAGGTAATGGCAGCTGGCTGGTGTGGAATGACTCTTGGCTTGAGACATGCAACAGGAGCTGGCTTTGCAGCTTTCTGCAGTTAGACCTCTTTGGGTTCTGATAAACACCCCATGTGCAAATCACATGCAAATGAGCTTTGCAAATTCTTAGGTGACAACTTCTTTTATCCAGGGTATGGTAACTCTTGCAAAGGAAAGAAAGCAGTTTGTAAGGGCCATCAGTTCCCTGTTGCCTCCAGATGTCTCACCCGCTTATCACTCTCAGTTGCTCCATTTTACCTATTGTGGAAACAAGCTCAGAGAGATACAGTGACTTTTCTGTGGTCACACAGCACAACAGCTCCTACGCAGTCAAATGAAATTACCCTTGGAGTGCTTTCTAACCTGTAGGTGCAGGTCCCAATCCAATGTAGTTACTTAGTGCAAGCAGTTTATTCCCAAAGTGTGTCCTCCCCATCTGGGAGAGGCTGCCTGATGTTCAGAGCCTTGAGGTAATTGCAGAGGGCAACCCAGCTTTGCAAGTCTGGCCTTCATCATTTCTCAGACGGAGACAGTGCTTCCATCCTACTTCCTCAAAATGTTGTGAAGCTCCAGGACTTTGAAAATTCTTCAATCAGCAAATATGCGTCAGTTAATTCACACTGAAAAATTGGAGTTTTGAGCAAGACTGTCTTTAAGATGTTCTTTGCTGAACATCTGGGTCTCCAACATTTGTGGCCTATCTTTCCCATCCCACCTCTCCAAAGGTCTTTCAACTATGCTGGAAAAACAGGGTCACGATCTTGACACCGTACATTCTGAAAGGTCAGCACTGGCGTAGTTTGGAGGCCATCTTTCCTTCTGTTTTGTTTGTCAGCAGAAGTGAGAGCGAATGCCTTGCTTGCAGGAAGTCCTGGTGGGCCTGAGGTCTAGCTTTGCAATTCAAACATACGGGGATTCTATCCTTTTGGCAGATTTTTTTTGAATCTTTTTTTGGAGAGGGAGGCGATGCTGGGGTTTGAACTCCGGGCTTTGCATTTGTGTCAGGTGCTCTACTGCTTGAGCCATTACTCCAACCCAGCAGATGTTTTGTTTATACATCTCTCTTGTCTCAGGCTCTGAGAATACATTGCTGTATAAGAGAGAACCAGTCCCTGCCCTCATATGGTTCACAGGTCTGGTGGGGGAGACAACCCATTACACAATGAATTTCAAGTGTGATAGGAAAGTGCAAGGTACCCGGATGGGATGAGGGCAGACCTGGCTAGGGGGAAGTCAAGACAGGGTTATCTGAGCTCAGATCGGAAAGCTCTGCCGTGGCACAACCTAGAGGCTGGGGGCCAGGCACCAGGACCCTGCCCTCTGTGGACCTCAAGTGCATTTTACAGCCACTTGACGCCAGCCAGTGCACATATCCACATCATGTCGGAACATTTGTTGCTGGCAGTAAAGAATAAACAATGCTGTGGTCTCCTGGTCCAGTCAGCACTGTTCAGTTGTAATAGGTTCCCAGAAAACCTATTCCTCATGGAGGGCAAGACAGATACCAAAGGGAAGGAAAAGCCAGCCAGGTGGTCTTAAGACCTTGCTTGGAATGACACGAAATTTCCATTATTCAAAAAAAAAGGTTATGCTGATTCAATGAAGACACCCCTGATTAAAATCAGTGACATTAGCACGCACTCTGCCCAGCCCACAGAGCACACATCAGCCATAGGAGGTGGCCGGGATGGTTAAGGAGTCTCCTTTCATTTCTTGCTTGGCATCGTAGGCTCTGCCCTGCTCTGTGTTGGCTTCACTGTCGGGAAGACGCTCACCACCCCCCTCCCAGGCTTCCATTTGTCCAGCTTGACCCCTCTTCAGTAATTCTAGTGACCTGGGTAGGGTCGTGGCCCTTGGGCTCATCCCCAAGTTGGTCCAGTGGGGTGGGGTGGAGGGCTGGGGGGTAGGTAATGCTTGCAGCCTGTTTCAGGGAGAAAGAGGCCAATCTCACCCAAAACTGGGGGCCGAAAATGGGGGGGGACATTGTGCAAGAGGCAATCAGAGGAGGAGACAGGGGTGCCTGGATAGGAGAAACCCATGGAGGCTCCTTGCCCCACAGCCCCTGGGAAGTTACAGGCAGGAAAGAAAGAAATATACTCATAACAAACTGTTGACAATGGGGTCCTTTGGAACAGCCACCATGGTCAGGTCCTACCTTCCAAGCTGGCTCCCTGGTCCCAGCCCCTGTCGTCTTTTGCTGGACTAGGGCAGCAGCTGCCCCCGGGCTCCACATGGCAGCCAGAGGGGCTCTGAAAATGAAGCAGGCCCACATGGCTCCACAGGATGGCTCCCCACTTCTGCATTCAGCCTGGGGGGACCGTGGGTGCTGGGTCATCTGCCTCGCCCTCCTCCCAGGCTTCCCCCTACCTTGCCTTTTCCCTGTCCCTGTGTGTTCATCTTCTTAGCACTCATTGTTCCTGAACATTCTGGTATGTGTCTTCCCCACTTGCTTTCTGTCCCCCGACTCCCATTCCGGCTCAGGAGGGCCAACACTGCACCTAGAATGTGCCTGCCCCAGAGTGGGTGTGCCATTAACATTCTGCTGACTGAAGAAATCACTTTGTGGCCCACCCTGGGGCCTGCTTGCCAGAAGCCAAGAGTGTCTTATTTACTCGGGTCCCCCCAGTGCCACCTTGGAAGCTCATGGGCAAAAAGTGCTTTCAGCAGGTTGTTTAAGCTTGCTGGACAGGCAGCTTTTTGCTCCGGCTCTCTGTGACGGAAGCAGCATTGCCAAATCAAGCTAGCGATAAGGTGTCAAGAGGCCGGGCTGTGGGGCCCTGGGTGTGGCTCTCCTTTGGGGTGGAGGGAAAGCCCTTGAGTGGATGCCTACGAGTGGAAACTTCATACTGCACACGGAAGATGTGGGTCAACCCCCTCTGTTCCTTCACTTACCAGCCCTGGTCAGCTCACCTGGTCACAGCCCTCACTGTGGGACTGCCTTTCCCCTGGGGCCTGAGGGCAGGCTTCACTGGCCACGGAGGCCACAGATTCACTGCAGGCTTGGCAGAGTGCCCATGGCAGCCTCAGCCCTGAGCAGCTCTGTGTATCTGTGCAGGACAGGCTGCAGTGCTTGGGGTCCTGGGTGCCTGAGGGGAAGGAAGTGGCATGAATAGCCCCTGGAGGCTTTCCAGAAACTGAGGACAGATGAGAAGCCGAAGTGAAAGGCACCTGATTGGCAAAACAGCAAGATGGGCCTGGGGTGGCCCTGTGTCCTCCCTGTTGTGAGCGGTTTCAGCCTTCCCAGAGCTGCCACACTCTCTTCTCTCCTGGTGTGCATGGCTCTCCCCGCTCACTGTTATGTCCTTCCCTTTCCTCTCCGACTAGTTGGGCCTGCCCATTTCCCTTTAGCTTCAGCTCAGAGCTCCCTATCCAGGAGCCTTCCCTGGGCCAGCTGGACAGCTAAGCCCAGCTCTCCTTCCTCCAGGGCCACAACTCTTGGCTCCAACTCTTAGCCTAGGCCAGGCATGAAGAAGCTGTCTGTGGGTCTCTGCCTCTCCCACCACCTGACACTGGCTTAGCTGGCCTGGCTGCCCAGGCAGCACTCGCCAGCCTGGCCTGAGCCCTGGTCCCCTTGCAGAGATGCGCTGGCAGCTGAGCGAGCAGCTGCGCTGCCTGGAGCTACAGGGCGAGCTGCGGCGGGAGCTGCTGCAGGAGTTGGCTGAGTTCATGCGGCGCCGGGCTGAGGTGGAGCTGGAGTACTCCCGGGGCCTGGAAAAGCTGGCCGAGCGCTTTGCCAGCCGCGGAGGCCGCCTGGGGGGCAGCAGCCGGGAGCAGCAAAGCTTCCGGTAGGTACCACACTGGCAGCAATGCTGCGGCAGGGCCTGAGGCCCAGGATCCCTGGCCTGAGTGCTCCTCTGCCCTCAGGAAGGAGCCGTCCCTTCTGTCGCCCTTGCACTGCTGGGCTGTGTTGCTGGAGCAGACACGGCAGCAGAGCCGGGATAGTGCAGCCCTCAGCGAGGTGCTGGCGGGGCCCCTGGCACAGCGCTTGAGTCACATCGCAGAGGATGTGGGGCGTGTCGTCAGGAAGGTAGGGCTCGTGTCCGGAGCCATGCAAGGTGTGGAGGGCCTCAGGATCTAGCAAGGGCAACCCACAGGGGTCCATTCTGGCTGGGAGGGATAGGAGGCCAGGTGGGCTTCGGGCAGAGGAGACCTGTGCCGCCCACCTGGGCTTGTACCAAGCTGAGGTGAGGTGGGATCATCCCAGGATGGTGGCAGGTGCTGCACTGGGGCATGCTGTGGTCACACTCCCCCTTCCACCTCCAGAGTAAGGACCTGGTGCAGCAGCTGCAGGATGAGCTCCTGGAGGTGGTCTCAGAGCTCCAGACGGTAAGGAAGGACAGGGCAGGGATGGGGACGAGCCCAGCCCAGCGGTGCAGGGAGACATGCCAACCAGAGGACGGCGAGATCAGCCCCAAGCCACCATATTTCCCCAGGCCAGGCTCAAGGAGCATCAGGTGCCCTGGGGACCTGGATTTGGGAAACTGTAGGCAAATGGAACAGAACAGTTAGATTAGGTGCTCATGTGGGATGCCCGACTCTCAGAGCTGAGTCCCAGGTGGGTGGCAGGACTGGGGGTGCGGTGGCTGGCCATGGCTCTCAGCGGGGCTGCCTTACCTTGGGACTTCCTGCAGGCCAGGAAGACATACCAGGCGTACCACGTGGAGAGCGTGAATGCTGAGGCCAAGCTCCGGGAAGCTGAGCGGCAGGAGGAGAAGCGGGCAGGCCGGAGTGCCCTGCCTACCATCACGGCCACTGCTGTCGCTGCTGCCGCCACCACCGCTGCCGCCACCGAGTCGGGGCCCCTCCTCCGCAAGAGCTCCCTCAAGAAGGGAGGGCGTTTGGTGGAGAAGGTGGGCCTGGCAGGCTATGGATCATTTCTCCATTCCGTTGTGAAGGCTCTGTCCCTGCCAGTCCTTGGATCTTCCTGGGGCCTGCTGTGTGGCAGGAGGAGGCAGGGCTGGGAAGGTGGGGAGCCACAGGCCCCCACAAGTTTCTTCTCTCCTGCAAGGACAAGACTGTAGCCTGGTTAGCCTTGCTAGCTCTGGAACGTTTCTTCAGCTAGGGGCAGTAATGGAAGGACAGGGCCACCTGGTTACAGGGATTGTATACAGAAAGCTCAATGGACCCGAGAGACGGGGAAGACAGCCAGGGCCCAGGACAGCCCAGTGCACTTGCTCTGTGCTTCCAGCTGGTCCCCACAGCCCCTCAGCAAAGCACAGCATGCTTTGGGCATCCAAGACTGAGGGACTTTGCTGTGAGGTGATTGAGTGACATGCAAGAAGAAGGGGCGTTCCAGGTGACCCCAAAGGGAATGGGAAGGTGCAAAAATGCCACATGGAGGCACCAAGCTGGGTGGGACTGAGGGTGACTGTCCACCTGTTGAGTCCAAGCAGAGTTTCTTGTGCATCCTCAGGTCCCTGCCCTAGCCCCGCCTCCATCACGGGGTGTGGGCATGTGTGCGTTTACTTATTAGGAGTTCCGTCCCTCCCCTCTTTCCTTGAGGAATGACAGTGAGGCACATTAGGGTAGGTGTGCAGAGGGAAGACAGCTGGTGGGAGGACCAGCCTTTGTCAATGGTCTAGAAGTGGGCAGTGAAGAGCTGGGGAGTTAAGTTGGCCTCCGGGGCATTGGTTGGAGCTCTATGAACTGTGGGGCCAAGCACTGAAGGTCCGCCAAGGGTTGGTGTGTGGCAAGGTGAGGAGGGGAGACAGCAGGAGTTCAGTCCACACTGAGTTCGAGGAGCCTGTGGGACATTGGGTTTTTCACAGACGGAAAGAAGGGACAGGTTATGTAGAGAGAAGAGATGGGGGCATGCCACCAGTGGGTGACCCTAGTGTGTTTTGTTGTCTTGAGCAGCGTCAGGCCAAGTTCTTGGAGCACAAACTCAAGTGCACCAAGGCAACGCATGAGTACCTGCTCAGCCTGCCAGTGTCAACGCCGCGTTAGCAACTACTTCGTACGTGATGTCTTGGACCTCATGGATGTGAGTCCTGCCCAAGCGGATGCGTGGGGCCCTGTGCCTTGGGGCTTGGAGGCCACAGCTCCGCGCTCACTGAGTGTCTGTTTGCTTCTCCCCAGTGCTGTGACACAGGTTTCCACTTGCCCTGGGGCAGGCCTCCGCAGCTACACAGTCCCGAAAGCCGCACCAGGCGTCCCAGTTGCAGGGCCTGGGCAGTCTGGAAGAGGCGCTGGAGGCCCTGGAATCCTCCAGGGGACAAAGCCAAGGTGCTGGAGGTGCACGCAATGGCCTTCTGTCCCCGCAGCGTTTTGACTACCAGCCCCACGACGGCGATGAGGTGAGAGTCGCGTCCCACTGCCCTTGGTGCTCCAAGCTCTCTCTGGTCTTCCTCTTAAGCAGGGCTGTCGCATGACTCACAGTGTTTGAAGGAAAAACTCTGAAGCTGAGGTCCTTACTTCTCAGCCCCTCAGTCCACAGCCTCAGGGCAAATGCAGTCCCTTGGAAGTTTCCTGCTTCTGCTTGTAGCAGCTAACTCGGGGCAGCCCCAAAACACACCACAGCACCGCAATTGTCACCTGGTAGTAGGCGGCTGTCCATACACCGTATGTTTAAATTTTTTCATGACACAACTTGGGAGGAATAAAGCATACAATGGCAATTTTTAATTTGACATCTTTGTACTCATCCCATGGGCTTTTAGGATAGTCCTCTCCTCTTTTTGTAAAATCCATGATGCTCCCATCCTTGGGGACCTTTTTTCCTCCTGGTGCTGGCACCAAGGGGGCCCTGTGTGTCTGGAAAGTGTGGTCTGAGCTTGGGGGGCTTTAGGATTCTTTGATAGTTCCCTCCCTTAATTTCCTTTTCTTTCTTTTGGGAGCCCCCGTTATTTTTGGACATTGGGCCTCACAGGTTGAGTCTATTTCATTTGCTCTCTCTTTCCATTTTTTTTGCCTTTTAAATTTCCGCTTTCTTTTTTAAAAATCATCTTTGTCTATTTTTAACTTTTATTTTTTATGTATTTATTTTTGGTGGTGCTGGGGTTTTGAATTTAGGGATTTGTGCTTGCAAAGCAGCCCATTTCGCTCTGGTTAATTTTGAAGAATGGGTGGGGGGAATCTACACAAAACGTTTGCCCAGGCTGGTTTCAAACCATGATCTCCAATCTCAGCCTCATAAGTAGCCACCAGACTTGCTTATTGTCCCTTTTTTATTGACTCAACCTCTGTGCAGTGAGTTTCCTATTCAAAATTCATAGAAATAATCTGTCTTTTCATTTGTTCAGATGTTCTTTTGGGCCTTCATTTGGGTAGTTTGAAGGTTTTTTTTTGTTTGTTTGGTGGTACTGGGGTTTGAACTCAGGGCTTCATGCTTTGCTAGCCAGACACTCTACCCACTTGAGGCCCACACCTTCCAGCCCTCTTAGATTATTTTCTTTAGAATCTCTTCCAACCCTTGTTGAATTAAAACAAATTTTACTATCATATTTTTAACAATATTAATTAATTAATAATTAAGATGGAGGTTTGTTATGTTGCCTAGGCTTGTCTCAGATTCATGGACACTGCACTCAAAGTGGTCCTTGGCTGCCTGCCACAAGTGCTGGGACTATCAGGCCACACTACTGCGGCCTCGGCTCCTTTTTATTTTATTTTTTTACTTTCCGGAAGCTTCTGTGAATCATGTTTTAAAATGACCATTTGTTATTTTTGTTTTGTTTTATTTGCATGCTCGGAGGGAAACCCAGGGAAGGCCCTGCATGGCTAGGCAAGTGCTCTAACACCGAGCTACATCCCAGCCTTGGTTCTAGCTTCACTAGGACGCTCATGCTTAGCCTTGAAGCTTGCTATGCAGGTGCAGGCTGACCTTGTAGCTTTCCATCCCTTCTTCTGACTTCCCAAGTGTTGTAAACTCTTTATTCTTACTTCATCGATACCGCTAACTTCTCCTCTTTTTTGTGTGGTACTGGGGATTTGAACCCAGGGTTTCTTGCATATGCTAGGTAGCACTCGAGCCATGCCCACTTCACCGGTATCTTCTTGAGTCTCTCTAAAACTGTATTTTGTTTTCTCACACATTTCCTCTGTTTCCCCTGAATTTGCCCTGTTTTTCCTGCAGGTTTTAAAAAAGTTTTGGCTTGATCTTCTTTCTTCTTTTTTTTTTCTTTTTGGCGTACTGAGGTTATGAACGCCGGGCTTTTTCTTGCTAGACAGGCCTCTTACACTTGAACACTCTGCTAGCCTGTATCCCATTTTAGAGCTTCCTGAAGACATTCTGGCGATTTTTGGGCATGCAGGTTCCTATTAAGAGGCACTGAGGGCCAAAGTTCATGTGGCTTGTGTGTGGGCAGACCTTGTCAGCAGTGGGTATTCTCCCTGTGTAATGGGCAGAAGACTCAGCTTTTTTGTTGGTGGGACCCCAAATATTGGAGTCTGTGGGTCTTCTTTTGGCTTGACCAGGCTCCCCCAAGCAGCGAGTTCTTTGGGCCTTTGCCCTCTGAGGCTTCCATTGAACTGACTGCAGTTCTCACCTCCCAACCCCAAAGCCCCACCGGGAACAACCCTGTAGTGGTCCTTTGGGCATCCTTGCTTTCTTGCTGTGAGAGGTGGCTCAGGGAGAAGGTATAGAAAGGATTTATGGGCTTGGGGCCTTTTTGTTGAAGGCACTGAGGGCTTTCCTGGAGCAGTGGGATTGGCTGTGTAGTGGCATGCTGTTCAGAGAGAGGGGTGATCTCTGTGGATTGGATTGGCTTGATAAATCTATCTAGAAGTTGACAGTGAAGGGAGGCTAAAGCTGCCCGTTTGTGAGAAAGCAGCCAGTCCTCACCTTAAGTAGGATGGTGAGTGGCTTTGGATAAAGTTCTTGCTTTCATCTGTGCCTCAGATGTGCTTAAAAGTGGGCTTGTTTTCCTCTTCACTGCTTATGGCCAAGATGGCCTGATGTGGGTGCTCTGTGACATTGCCCTGTGCTTTCTACAGGACAAACAGGCAGAGGTAAGAGTGAAAGGACGCAGCCCAATGCGCCAGATGGCAGGGCTGCTGTACTCTTATCCAGTGGTGCACTTCCATCCCCTTTTGGTCAGCTTTGTGACTAAGTTTCCTCTGAGTCCAAAATTCCTGGCTTTCCTTCAGGAGTAAATGTGTAGTTTTCTGCTGGGGCTTAGGTGACCTTTTTAAAATCATGGTCAAATACCACAAGACAGAATTTACTACATGAACAGTTTTGCAAGTGCACACATTCACATTGTCGTGCGACCATCACCCCATCCTCCAACTGCTATATGCAACGCGATCAGTACCTGTGTTTGTCCTTGCGCGGTTGGCTCATTTCATCCTAAGAGTCATCCTCATTGTACGCAGGTGACAGAATTCCGTTCCTTTTTCTCCTGTGACTTATGTCTTGCACACCCCTTTATGGTGGGCTTGAGAGCAGAGAGCAGGGTGAGTGCTCAGCTCGATGCAGATAAACTCTATCTTCACTCTCAATTCTTTTTTTTTTTTTTTTTGATACTGAGGCTTGAACTCAGGGCCTTCACCTTGAGCCACTCCACCATCCCTATTTTTGTGAAGGGTTTTTTCAAGATAGGATCTCTCGAACTATTTGCCTGGGCTGGCTTCGAACCCGCAGTCCTGATCTCTGCCTCCTGAGTAGCTAGGATTACACAAGTGTGAGCCACCGGGCACCCGGCTCTCACTCTCACTTTTTAACCCAACTCTAACTTCAATGCCAGAGTTTTCTGGATGTTTACATATTTATTTTTCTTCATGTATTTTTTGGGGGTGTTGGGTATTGAACCCAGGGCCTCATGCATGCTAAGCATGTGCTGTACCAACAGAGCTGCATCCCACCCCCAATGTGTTTTACAAGAGAGAAATTCCTCCTTCCTAAAGCTTTTTTTCTTTCAGCACCCCCTCTTCCTGTGTGCCCAGGCAGTGGCCTGATGCCAGTTGTGTGTAACTGACTTTTCTGGCCTCTCCTTTCCCTAGGAGGGGTTTATCTGGCCTCTCCCTCTTCTGTCTCAGGCCACAGCCCTTCTGACCAGTCTTTGGTCTAATTCACCCATTAAAAGTATGCAATTCAGGGTTGGGGGTGTAGCTCAGTGGTAGAGCACTTGGCTAGCATATGGTTCGATCTCAGCACAAAAAAGAAAAGACAAAAAAAAAAACAAACCAGTGTGCAATTCAGTGGTTTTAGTATATCCACAGCCTATGCAACCATCAGCACTATTTAATTTCTCACCATTTCCCTCACCCCGTTCACACCATTTTTATCAGACCTGAATAGAAAGCATACCTGTGAGCAATCACTCCTCCTTCCCCTCTCCAACACCCACTGTGCTTTTCTGTCTTTGTAGTTGCCTGTCTGGCTATTTTAGGTATGAATTCATATGATACGTGGCCTTTTGTGTCATTCTGGTCACTCAGCATAGTGTTTTCTAGGTCTTTCTTTGTTGGAGCATGGATCAGTACTTCACTCCTTTTGTGGTTGAATAACATACCACAGTATGGATGAACCACTTCTTTTTCATTACTCGGTGGACACCTGGATTACTTCCACCTTTGGGACTTTTCTTGAGGAGGGCACTGGGATTTGAACTCAGTGCCTCACACTTGCTAGGCAGGCACTCTACTACTTGAGCCACTCTGCTAGCACTTTTTTTGTGTTGGGTATTTTTGAAATAGAGTCTCACAAACTGTTTGCCCAGGCTGGCTTCAAACTGTGGTCCTCCTGGTCTCTTCCTCCCAAGAAGCTAGGATTACAGGCGTGAGCCACCAGTGCCAGTCACCTATGGACTTTATGAATAATGCTGCCATGTACATGTATGGGCAAGTCTTGGTGTGGCTGGATGTATTCATTTCTCTTGGGGAGATACTTCAAGCCTCCAGTTGAAGAGTTAAGGTCTGGCAGTGTTAAGGTCAGCCACCACGCAGCAGGCTCTAGAGATTTCCCTCAGGTCCGTCCTCACTGTCACACCTGATCTCTGTGCCAGGCCCAGCCTTAGCCCCTGGTACTGCCCTCTGCAGGTGGCTGAGATCCGGGTTGAGATGGAGCTTCGCGATGAGATTTTGCCCAGAGCCCAAAAATATCCAGAGTCGTCTGGACCGGCAGACCATTGAGACAGAGGAGGTATGAGTGACTTGGCCTGGTGGGGAGGGGGACAGGGGCCTGGAGCCCTCTCTCAGGTTCAGCTGCCCTACTACTCCCTCCTAGCTGCTTTAGACTTCCTGTCCTACATTATCACCTACTTCTTACCGCCCTGGTGCTATCCCCTCCTCAGGTGAACAAGACGCTGAAGGCAACACTGCAGGCTCTGTTGGAGGTGGTGACATCCGACGATGTAGACATGCTGGACTCTTTCCAGGCCAGCCCTCCACTGAGTCCCTCAAGTCCACTAGCTCAGACCCAGGCACCCGGCAGGCAGGCCGGAGACGGGGCCAGCAGCAGGAAACGGAGACCTTCTACATCACGGTGTGGCCAGGCGGGTGGGGGGGGCCCCACAGGGCAGGAGGGGGCAGAAGGTGCCCAGCCAGGTCTAAAAGTTTGGGCTCTTCTCTCGGCTTCCAGAAGCTCCAGGAATATCTGAGCGGCCGGAGCATCCTTGCCAAGCTGCAGGCTAAGCATGAGATGCTGCAGGAGGCCATACAAAGAGGTGGGTCCTAGTCCTGGCCTGCCCCTTCTTCCTCTCCTAGGGCCAGGCTCTGCACCTGCCCTCCTCTGCCTGGCCCAGACTCTGACCTGGCCCGTGTTCCCCTGCCAGAGAGGTTGTTTGACATGAAGGAACTAATCTAACAAGAGTCTCGGCCTTTCTCCTGCCCTTGGCCCCGGGCATTTGAGCCACACTCCCCTCTTTGGGGTTCATTGAGACCCACCCCCTCGCCTGAAAGGCAGGCCAACATTTTCTCCTGTACAGGTGACAAGGAGGAGCAGGAGATGTCTTGGTGAGTCCTTCACGATGTGCTGGCTTGTTCGGAAGTCCCTCATCTCTCTGTCCTCAGTGCCCAGCTCTGCCACCCAGTCCCCTGTGTCCTCAACATCCCATTTTGTCCAATGGATTCTGGATAACTTGGAAGGTCCAGGGCCCAGTTTGGCTGGGCTGGGGGTGGGGCTTCCTTTTCTCCTGTGCCTCCCCTCAGAGCCGCATCTCATTTACTGCAGGACGCAGTACACACAGAGAAAATTGCAGAAGAGTCGTCAGCCCCGCCCAGTTCTCAGTACAACCAGAGACTCTTTGGAGGAGACCTGGAGAAGTTTATTCAGGTACTTGATTTGTCCCACACAGCGATTGATTGCAGGCCATCTCTACCCTTCTTATCTTTCTCCAGCCCTGGACCACCTCTATGGCCAGAGTGGCTGCCTGATCCCAGTGTCCTCTATTCCTGACCTTAAGGTGGAAGTCAACTGTGCCTTCGTGGGCGAGCCTTTTCCGGGCCTCTGCTGGGCTCTCCCTGGGTTTCCCCGTGGCCTCCAATTGATGGAAGAGAATTGTTAAGGAATACAGAAAACCTGGGGCAGCGCATTTTTAGGGGCATTTTCCCCTGTGACTGGGATCACACAAATCTCCACAGACCCCACTTCCGGCCAGTGTGGGCCTGGCAGTCCTAGATAGTGAAATAAGACAAGCAAGAGAGATCTGAAAAGGAGAAATAACTGTCATTTGCAATTATGTGATTATGCACATAGAACATTCAAAAGAATCCAACTATTTGATGAACAAATTTGAGTTTCGCAGTGTTGCTTGAGTCAAGGTCGATATCCAGGTTTTGATTGCATTTTTACATTCCAGCCACAATTTGCAAATTCAATGTACAGCACTTCCTAAAATAGCACCAGCAATATCAGACACTTAGAGGTGACTCTAACAAATTCAGTAGCACACTCTTAAGAGAAAAGCCATGAATGACAAGGGAGACTGCTATGTCCGAGTAAATGCCATCTCTGTCCCCAGAGCTCAGGCCAACCTGTGCCCCTGGTGGTGGAGAGCTGTATCCGCTTCATTAACCTCAACGGTAAGCACAGCCCAGCTCCTGCTGCCCTGGCACCTGGCACCAGGCACCTGGTGCAGGTGGCCAGTCCTGGGAGGGAGGGGACACTGCCTGCCAGCTCCTTGTCTTCTGCAGGCCTGCAGCATGAGGGCATCTTCCGTATATCAGGTGCCCAGCCCCGAATCTCAGAGATCCGAGAATGCCTTCGAGAGAGGTGGGGACAGGCAGGTGGGGGTGGCTGTTTGGGGCTCTGCAGACACAGTTGGCCTCCTCACCCCGCCATGTTGCTCACCTGACTGCCCGCAGGGGAGGACCCTCTGGTGGAGGGCTGCACGCCCACGACCTCGACTCAGTGGCTGGCGTGCTGAAGCTCTACTTCCGGAGCCTGGACCCCCATCTTCCCCCCAGACCTGTTTAATGAACTGCTGGCTTCTGCAGGTGAGGCCAGGACCTGTGGCTGGGTGGGTGGGAAGGCCACTCTTTGGCTTAAGTCACTCTGCTCTCTTGGGATGGCTTTGGCCACAGAGCTGGAGGCTGTGGTGGAACGGGTGGAACCTGTGAGCCAGCTGCTGACCCGACTGCCTGGACCGGTGCTGGTGGTCCTGCGCTACCTTTTTGCCTTCCTCAACCAGTGAGTGCTTCTGGGAGACAAGCTGGCAGTGGGGGGTGGAGGGGACAGCAGCGCTATAGCTGTGACCCTCATGTGACCCCCATGTCCCCCAGCCTGGCCCAGTAAGTGACGAGAACATGATGGACCCCTACAACTTGGCCGTGTGCTTCGGGCCGACGTTGCTGCCTGTGCCTGCTGGGCAGGACCCCGTGGCCTTGCAGGGCCGGGTGAACCAGCTGGTGCAGACGCTCATCCTGCAGCCGATACGGGTTTTCCCATCCCTAGCTGCACTGCCAGGCCCTGTCTATGAGGAAGTGCATGGCACACCTTCCGCCAGCTGTCTGGGGTATGCTCTTGGTGCTGCCTGGGGGGTCCAGTGGAGGGGAATCCCCCTCACTGCCTCACTCTGCTCTGAACATCAGGGACACGCAGCTGGAGAGCCTTGCAGGGGAGAATGAGCCAGAGCTGGAAGCTGGGAGCACCGCTCATGAGGATGGTGAGGTGCTGGAGAAGCTCTACCTTGTACCCTCTCTGGGTGCCCACTGCATTGCCAGTCTGACCTCTCTTCTCCGCAGATCTGGATGGGGGGGTCGTGGAGGCTGTGGCCTGCTTTGGCCTACACTGGCCGCACAGCCCAGGAGCTGACATTCCAGCGAGGGGACGTGCTGCGGCTGCATGCTCGGGCATCGAGTGACTGGTGGCGTGGGGAGCATGCCGGCGTGCGAGGACTCATTCCACACAAGTACATCGCACTGCCTGAGGGGTGAGTGAACTGTGGCCTCGGCCCTCCTCAGGGCTTACAGCCGTCCTTCAGCCCATCCTGTGCGCCGAGTCTCCAACCTACCTCTTTAATCCAGCTCTCTCTGGAAGTAGCCCGCTGTCACCCCGAGATGCTCAAACTGGACTTGTTCAGGTCCAAGTTTGCTGTCCTTCCCCGACCCCAAGCCACATTCCATGACTCTAGGCTGGGCCTGGAATGAGCATTTCTCACCACTTTTCACTGGCGCTGAAGGCTGCTGGGCCCTAGGCCCCAGCTAGGAGAGAGCTGGAAACAGGCCAGTCTTTTCCCTGTCCAGGGATGAGAAGCAGGCAGCAGGCCCAGGGCTGTAGGCCATGGTGGAGCCTGTGAGCTGTCTAGAGGGCTTCCTGGCCTTGGAGTTCATCCATCCCTGAGCAAGGAGAAGACAGGCTCTTTGGAAGACCCCTCTGAGGGCCGCACTTTGCCCTGCACATGCTGTCCTAGCCAGCAAACATGGTGGTAGACAATGGGGCTCAGCTTGGCTGTGACAAGCCAAGATGAAGCTTGGGGACCAACAGAGGCTAGCCTCTTTCCTTGGCCACACCCAGGACGTTCACTGCCGGCGTTAGCTCAGGGACTTCCCAGGACCCTTACCAGGCTCCTTGTCTGTGCC